TATGCTTTGGTCAGGTTCATCAACAGAAGTCGGATCATCATCACTAGATGGCGCTATTTGCAATACCGTCTTAATCTTAGAGGTGACTGTAATCTGCAGTAGGTGCAGTGAGCTGGGGTATATACTTGCATGTACCACTAGCCTATCACAGTGCAATAGGCACTATGGTGTATAATACAGTATGCCCTCCCCCCAGACCCACACACATGCACACAGACCGGAATTTAGAACAACAATATAATTCATTCATAAATACAACACCCAAAGTGGCATTGCCATTAAGCCACTGATGAAAATAGATCTGAATATTGCTTTTAACAGTCAAAATATTAACTTTAAGTTAAATTAAACATTTACAATTATTCACATTTTAAATGAACATTTTTAAACATTAAACATTTTTGTCCAACATCTTGAAGCCAACAACAAAAATACATGTCAACAAAGCATTTAACCGGCTGAAATATACACTCTACATATGACACAGGGATGAGTTTATTGGTGCCTCAAGTCATTACTTGTCTTTTTTCACTTTGAAACTTAAAACACTCAAGAGCAAATGGTGAATTTTGGAATAAGATTCTAAGTAAAACCTTAGATCAAGCTTTTCTAGGCTTCACAGCAGTTAACACGAAGGACTGAAAAGGAATGGACTCTGTCGTGGGTTTGAATTTGACCTTTAGCAAACAGACCAACTGAAGGAGTTCACAGTGAAGATGAAAGGTCTTTGAGGGATAGATATCTTTCAATTAGTAATGAAGCCATTGATTGGCCTCCCAACCCTGTGGTGTCATACTGGTCCTTTGTTTGTGTCACCCCCGGTGTCTTGGCAGGAAAAGACTGTGAGAGTTGAGCCTGAGGTTGTCCAAGGGTCAGTGTCCATCAAACTTCTGACAAAGGTACTGATTGTTAAAAGTCAGAGAAAGTAAACAGAAGCTTATTGAGAGCTAACAACTACTCAAATTAAACATCCAATGTGTAGAATATTTATTGTAAATAAGGAGCAAAACATTTTTATTGAGTCCCTCTGAGGTGTTTGCTACTTCCTATTAAGTAACATCAATTTTCTTTAATTTCTTTAAATGATAAATGTTAACAAATGCTACTCAATTATTTCATTTCATCTTTTCTGACTCACTGAAATATTATTTTGACCTTCCACAGCACTTCCTGGGAGAGGCTGCGGTGACTCTGCCTCAAGTATATCTAGACTGTCCTTTGGCAGAGGGTGACTTGGAGCCAATCCTTCATGTTTGTTTGCTGGATCCCAGCTTTCCTGCGTTTGTGGAGAGGGTGGAGGAGGAGCTGAAGAAACTGCTTCAAGAGTGAATAATCTCCACAACAGCTGAAGGCAAAAAGGTCAATGTTTTTCTTTTTCTTATACAGTTTGTGTGGGCAGCACCTGGTGGTGGAGTGTTTTGTGCTGTGCTGCCAATATTGTTGCATATTAGTTTAATGGCTCAAAGAGCATGTGTCAAATTTTACTAATTCAGTTAGAGAAGAAATTGGTTAGTTAGTTAGTTAAATAATTTGCAAAGCAAAAAAGAAAATCAGTTTTTAAACTTTTTATTCAGAAAAAAAAATATTGGTCTCACTCATGTTTGATTGTGGCTATATACTCTGGTCCCTCTGACCCCACCCTAACGCCAGTCCATTCCCACCGCCACGCACATGGATACATTGTATTGAAACAGGAGTCATGCAGCTACAGCAGTGAATTTTGCTATGCCAGCTTCCAAGTGATCCCACAATATTAAAGCTTCACTGAGTAAAACAAACCGCC